CTTATGTTCTACTTGAACCCAAACTGCACGAAATTAACGAATATACACTCATCTGCAAACTAATTTGGTCCTTTCGAGAGAATCACAGCCAGCCAAATTAGTTTGCAAATGAGTGTATTTCGTTAATATGGTGCACTTTGGTTACAAGTAGAGCATAAAGTTGATGGAAACGGACTGCGCCTTAGTTTGCAAATGAGTGTACTTCGGTAATATGGTGAAATTTGGTTACAAGTAGAGCATAAAGTTGATGGAAACTCGGGGACTGCGCCTACCTGATGAGCCCGAAGAAGGGAGAAACCGGTTATGGGCTGTCGACGAATTTTCAGCAACCTTATGAGTAGTACATTATAAATATTAAGTAGGGTTGGTTTTCAAACAAATAACAGTAAAACAACGAGAAACCTGAGTAGAAGCTTTGATTCAACACAGACAAATACGAATGAACTATGCACAACTCTTGTCAACGTGTAGTGTCCTATGAGCATAGCGAGCTTTATTCAGCTTCGAATCCATTGCCATCCAAGAATGGCGAGTTAAATTCTCGGTGAAATCCTTATGGCTGTTGTAAACAGCTGTCAGAGGATGAATTCCACGGGGATCTGACTTTGCTAGGACCGCGTTTCATTGCATAGTTACGTCGATGGTTAGCTGCGTAGCGTAGTGTGATATTTTTCAAAAGAACCCCAGCTAGCTTAGTCATCCACAATTGGGGTCAAACCACACTTGTACCCCACACAATCATGCTAATGCACAGTGGCCTTATCCTACCGTCTGTACCTGTGAAAGGAAGAAGGCCTTCGCTACGGAGTTACTTATTGGAAAACACCAACTGAACAGTTACAGGCTATTGGACAGGGGAGCAACACTCTCATACACATCTTGTTTATAAATACCGAGTGTCCGCCTTCTTCTCGAACGCGTCTTCCTGAACTTTCCTGGATACTCTTTTACTATCACTCAAATGGAAACAGGTGCTACAAAGAAGTTCCACAAATTCAATAGAGGCAAAGCGGATTTACGATAAAACCACACACTACTCGCATATCCCATCAGTAGTATCCATCGTTACACCTGTAGCATTCACCTAGAATCCTTTGAGTTTCGCAGATATTTTCATGCTACTGAGCCATCTTTTCCACATATCAACCACCTTCTACCTCTGCTTACCGGCCTTCTAATTCCTCTCGTCTCTACCCACATAACCTTTGCTGGGATTCGAGCTAAGAGATTTAACCATGTATCCATATCAGATGCTTGGCAAGTTCAAGAAAAAGGAAGAGGTTTGACCTCTTAAGATCACCACTGTCGGTGATATCGCTTGCCGTCTCATCACGTGAAAAAAATGCGAACAAATACCAAGAATTACCGAACACATCTCGAATGAAGTTGAGGACTGTGCGGGAGGACCAAACTTCGTTCGCTGTTTAGAGGGCGACAGGATGTGTTTGCAAACGAGACCAGTAAAAACCGAAGGTATTGTAAATCCAGGATTTTAAGTAGCATGCTGATTCCATGCTGACCTGGTTGAATGACGCTCGACCGAAAATCAGTTTTTTTGTTTCAATCACAAATTTCCCAAAGGTCAAGACTATCACGAACCATGCCAATGTCGTTCAAATGACCAAATGAGCATGAAAACGACTCCAGAGTCTGCGATAATACGGTCACCTTCACGAAAATTGCAACTGAGTCACCAGAACTCTGTGGATCATGCCTAAATGTTTTCTACCACACTATTAGATATAAAATAACGTAATATTCTGTTTTTAAGTTTGGCGAACACCATGATGTGTTAATCAGCGAAAACACTTTATATCATGTCAAAGAGTTGTAAGCGTCACATGGATGGATATCACATCACATATTCTGGCAATCTAAGTGACTGAACTTAAGTTGTATCACTTCCAAGTGTCATTCAAACCCCCCCCCCCTGATGATTCCATGTATAGCCAGAAACATTCATCCTTCGAAGGCGGATTGCCACGAGTTTCTTGTCCCTTCCTGGGGGTAAGGGATGAGACCTTTCTAGATATACATGCTCGCGTGTTATTTCACTAGATCACGTGGGATTGGCGGAAATATCTGAAGAGCTCATAAATCAGACTTTTCAAAGATATTCATTGAAATTAGACTGACTTCAACCCATAGGTATAATTTGTACGAGGCTTTTGCCCCGTTTTCACCTCGATGGTAGCTTCCAAGCAGAGGTCATCTTGTTTCTTAACCATCCCCATAATTTATTTTAGATTGTTTGCTTGATTAACTCACAAAGTTATCGCCATTTGCAAGCGGCTTTTACTGGGCTTTTTCTATAGAGCTGAAGCGTTTGCCTATTAGATAGAGTAGAGAGTCGGTCGATCAGGGAAGCAGAGAGTATCCTCTTCAGACAACCATGCTCGGAAAAGTCTGATCTCCGACAATCGTCAGCTCCTAACGGTCTTGTGTCGTACATGATAGTTGGGAGCACGTAAGATTTTTTCCGGCGGGTTTTGGTGTTTGGTCCAATTTCAAATGGTCCTTTACTCGCGCTGTCTATGCTAAGAGCAACATTTTTCATAGTCTGAGGAATTGAATGCACAGATCATGTCCATATTCCGTGTAACCAAAGATTTAGTCCTATCAGAGCAGCCAGTTATTACACAACCATTTTGTTTGGCGCTGACAAGTTTGTGGGTTCTCTTGCTCACCGGAACACTGTTCACACTGTACCTCGACTATTCCATCTGCTGAGCTGCATTACGGGACGGCGTCACGATGCGTCTAGGTAACAAACCCCAAAATCAATACATGTTCGAATTCCAAACTCATTTGTGGATACTGCCAACCGTCCTGCTTCCTTCCAGTCCGCCTGCGACTGTACACATCTGTCTACCCTTTTAAAGGAGGTTTTCTCACGTGACCGCGGCCTTTTCACAGTAACATTCCTTTATGCTCTGCAACGCTTATAAACAAAATCGGGATTTTTTTCACGCATTCCCTCACCGAATAAATTCATACTTCATATTTATTCCATCTTTTTTGTTCGTTTCCAGCGAGGAGTTCAGCAGTGACGAATCCGAGTGAGTACTTAGCACTTGAACAAAACACTGAATTGATGTTTTACTCTCGAAAGTCATTTACGTGAATCAACTACGACAAAGATGCATAAAACCATTTGTAAAAAAGGGTGGAACGAATCGTGACTGTGCATATAAAACTGTCCGTCTCAGTCTAATAGGGATTCCCTCGGTAAATGTTGCCCTCCGAATCTCATTGCGTCAGTGCACAGAGGAGACCGTGAAGCGTCTGTAATATACACTTGACTGCTTTCGCGCTTTCCAAAAAGTGTGTCGGATTGACTGAGTCATTGAGGCAGTCATAACTATAGAAAAGCGGCCAATCGATGCGACACGTGACCACTTACGCTGTATGCGCCTAACGAGTGCGAACCAATCCCGAAACACTTGGTGATTGATTGATTTTCGGGGCCGGAAATGCAGTTAGGTGCCTTAAAAACTCCCACGCTGACGATGCGAACTGAGTAAAAGGGCGGTTTGGGGGAATAGGGCATGAGAGCGTGACGTACAAACAATTGATGCTGTATTCAGTGAACCTGATTGCCATGGTTTTGTCCTTTTAGCCATTTTCACTTGCCGATCAATTTGCTCCGGAACGGTTTTTGTGTGTGGTGAAAACTCATCAAGCAACTATCTCGAGAGTGTAATAGTCGTTTAATCTGTTAAGGACATCAAGTGACATGCATAGAAAACTGGTAAAATCAGCATGCAGGCTATGGAGAGGAACTTTGCGGACATGAGGTGCACTTTATTGACAAAAAAATGAAGCAGACTGAAAGACAAGATAACGATTTATTCCGCATGGTTTGCACTAATGCAAAGATAGAGAGAAAGAGACAGAGACAGCGACACACGCATAGAGAGAGCGAGAGAGATGTAATGCAGCGAAATCATAGAGTAATTCAAATGAATGAAAAGTAATCGATATGGTTCTGTCCAACTACACCCTTCTGACCGTAAAATTCGAATTAGCTGACCGTCGCTTAGTCCAGGAAACAGTAATGCATAACACGCAGATTCAGAGATGCTCGTGCATTTTTGTAACGACACACGCTACTCATAAGGTTGCTGATACTACCGGCTTTATCCTTCTTGGGGCTCATTAGGCAGACGTAGTGTCCGAGTGTCCATCAAACTTTTGTTCTTCTTGAACGAAAGTCTACGTCAGTAGCGAAATGCATTCATTTGCAAATTAACTCGATGTTGACGGGATGTCCTTTTTCGAAAAAAGCGCTAATGTGGAACCATCTCTTTGTAGTGTCGCTGGGTGCGGTATGGAATCTGTCACTTGCCACATCCGTGGGCGATACTGGCACGTGACGGTCACTCCCGGGGTAATAACAGCTGAGTTCTCAAACAAGGCAGTAAGAACAACATTGACGCGCGATACATTAATTTTGTACAGTCTCATCCGTCGTAATTCGGTAAAACGGAATAAAATTAAACAAACCATAGGGCGAGTGTGCCGTTTGTGTGGAACAGAAAATAATATGTTACAAAGGGCAAGGCTGTCACAGAGTAGCCCTCAAGTCTTTCTGAGTGCACGATACATGTTTTGGCCCCGGGGAACTTCGGTCTATGTGGCCGGTTACTTCGTGTTGCTGACTGCCCATATCCAGCTATGTTTCCCCGGGGTCCTTGGTTTGATTTTTCATCTAATTAAGGTTCAAGTTCATTAGCAGTTTCCTTCGAACAGGAGCATTTTTGCTGGTCGATCTGCTGATAATTGTATCGCTGCAATATCGCTACATCATCATCGTCATCATGATCATCATGAGAAAGCAGGGTTGGTGTCGGCAATGTCACTTTACTACTGTACAACCACAAAGTTTATCTTATCATATTTAAAGCTTTAGAGCGAGAAGGAGAGAGTGGATCAAGATGCCTACCTGGTGCCAGTCAATTACAAGCATTCTCAGGTGCTTGTACCCGCAAGCGCTCAATCATACAATCTTGGAAGAAACTGTCAGCACGAACGCCAGTGGTTTCGATGAGGCACAGGGAAGGGGTCACGAACACTCCATCCTGGACCGCACCAACAGCTCCCACGCACCTCGTGATCTCTTTCACACCCTTCTATCAAGTCATGGGTTGTCCACCTCGCGGATTCCCTCATTCTGAAGGAGGCACGGAGAACAACACTTGTCTCGATGAACGACGCTTCGGCATGTGTGGCACATGGCAGTGTCGGCTCACATGATAGCGTTGAATGTTGTAGTGTCTGCTGCACAAACGGATACGCGTTTCCTGATTCGACATCCGACATTAGCAACGCTTCTGAGACATCGGTGGTCGAAAACTGGGAGATGCCTCACATCGTTTGTCCCCAGAGGCCAACCAGACAACAATACGACTACCTAGTACATGCGAATCTTGAGATCCAGTGATATGCCTTTTTGACGACACAAGTGATGCAAATTAGCAATCGTAATTCGGTTCCCAGAGATTCGAGTACTGATGTTGTCGGACACATTTCATTCAGATGTATGTACCTGCACACGAATGGTTACATGGAATAAATGGTTGGTCAAAGTGGCGCTGGCATTCTGATCGACTTCACTGGAATAAGCCTTGTGTAGGCCTTAAAACTCATTAGCTTCCACACATGCGTTCAGCGAAAGCCCATGTTTCAGACCCGTTTAAATCGACTAATGAGGTAGCCACTTATTTTCATAGAGGAAACTACTCAAAAGGTTGCTGAAAACTCTTCGACAAATGAACGTATTGCTCGAAAACAGTCTAATTTGGGTTCAAATAGAACATAAGATTGACGAAAACTCCGGGAGCGCGCCTACCTGATGAGCCTGAAGTGGAAGGGCGAAACAGGTCGTGGGTTGTCCTAGGGTTTCCAGCAGACTTGTGAGTAGTTTCCTTTATGAAAATATACTGCGATATCTCGAATATCGTACCAACTGAAACATGAGAG